TTGAAAACTACTAGCACATGGCTTTAAATAGTGTGCTGTAGGCTGGTGGTAAAGCTTTATGAATTTATCATGTAATATGCAACACATACTAATAAATTGCAATCCTCTATGATAATTGAGCACATTTAAAACAGTTTAGTTTTTGTGTTGCACAATTTGTAACTAAATTGGAAGAAAATATTTTTTTCACTACTGTTTGTTGCCAAAGCTCCAATTAGATATAAATATAATGCTTGCCATGATTTGACTTTCTATAAAGTTTTTTGTCTCTGCCCCAGCAAACACAGCTAAATTGGTAGCAAACTATGTAAGTTTATTTTTCCTACAGGTAAGCTTATAACAAAGCTTACCTGAAGGTAAAATGAAGGTAAAACGAATATCTTCTAAACGTGCGCCATTTATGGGATCTTCTTTTTTTTAGAGTCGACGCATGCGCTCTGAAGGAACGGCATACCCATACCGTTCCTTCAGAGCCTTGTTCTGTGTCCCGAGACTGCTAAGCATATGCACGTGAGTGACGTCATCGTGGCTCAGCCAGTCAGATGGTCGGAGCTCGCTAACCCAGAAGACCGGGTGAAGATGAAAGCCTCTACAGCGGTGACACCACGCCGCTTGAGGGCTTCGTTTTAAGGTAAATTCTATATAGTGGATTTTTCTTTTTTTTGGGATGCGGTTTACTACCACTTTAAAGTCTTTCTTAAAGTATATGTAAAGTGGAGAAAAACAAATGCAGTACATCTCTGCAGTGCATGCACATTTACTCATGTTTTATCATTTTAGGACTCTACAATTACAGAAAAATACTCTTTGATCTGCCAGAACTGCAATCAGCTTCTAAATGTTGTTTAGGGATGACAACACTCAGAATTTTTTAAATGTTGTCACCCCTGCCCAATTTTCTCTTACCAAACTACTTAGACCACCTACTCTTCCATCTCCACAACATGAAGGTGTAGGGCTGATTATTCTCTTTGAGGCAACATAGGAAGTGAGCACTGGGCACTCTACAGTTATGCGTTTCTGATATGATCAACAAGGATTTTTTGTACTTGTCCAGCAGATACAACAAACACTTTTAATAGTGTATTTAACAATAAAAAATTACAGCAAATAAGAGAGGTTAATTATTAGTGTTTACATAAACATTAAAGGATAAGTTCATCTTTGGGAACATGTTACATGTTCCAGCCATTTTTAGAGTGGAACATGTAACATGTTCCTATAGTTGCAGCCACGACCTCCCTTCCCTCTGACAGATAATACGGGGAGAAATTTCCCTGTGCTATATGTCAGATTTGAAAACAGCATGGCCGTGCAAGGCTCAGCCCATACAGCCACGTATTATTATTATTATTATTCTTATACAGTATTTATAAAGCGCCAATAGTTCACTCAGCGCTGTACATTACAAAGGGGGACAGAACATGTGACAGAACAATACCAATACAATGCAAAACATGAGGGGATTGAGGGCCCTGCTCTTTGGAGCTTACAATCTAGGAGGGAGGGGATAGTGGTACAGGAGGAGATAGCTGTGGGGGATGGAGTGGTAGGAATAGTGGAGGAGGTCGGTCAAGTTAGCAGGGGGTAGGGTAGGCTTCCCTGAAGAGATGGGTTTTCAGAGTGTGCCTAAAGGAGAGGAGAGTAGGGTGATAATCTGATGGGTTGGGGCAGGGAGTTCCAGAGGATGGGTGACACCCTGGAGAAGTCCTGGAGGCGGGCATGGGAGGAGGAGACCAGGGAACTAGAGAGAAGGAGGTCTTGTGAGGAGCGGAGTGTGCGTGCTGGGCGGTACTTGGATATTAGGTCAGTGATGTAGTTCGGGGCAGTATGGTGGACGGCTTTGTAAGTCAATGTTAGGATTTTGAATTTGATCCGTTGCGCAATCGGAAGCCAGTGGAGGGATTGGCAGAGGGGGGTGGCGGAAACGGAGCGGTTGGAAAGGTGAATGAGTCTGGCAGCTGTATTCAGGATCGACTGAAGCGGGGATAGCCAACGGCGAAGCAGGCCAGTGAGGAGGGAGTTGCAGTAGTTAAGTCGTGATACGATGTGGGAGTGGATGAGCTGTTTAGTGGTTTCTGGGGTTAGGAACGCGCATATTTTGGCGATGTTGTGGAGGTGGAGTCTGCACGAGTTTGTTAAAGATTGGACTTGGGGCTGGAAGGATAGATTGGAGTCCAGAATGACACCAAGTACTCTGGCCTGCAGGGCGGGTTTGATATTGGCGTTGTTGGATGTGATGGAGAAGTCAATGGGGGGTGGGGTCCAGGCTGGGGGGAAGACAAGAAACTCGGTTTTGGAGAGGTTCAGTTTAAGGAAGTGGAGCGACATCCAATCTGATATGTCACTCAGTAGGTGTGTGATTCGGGCAGAGACCGAGGGGGTGAGGTGGGGGGTTGAGAGATAGATTTGTGTGTCGTCGGCATAGAGGTGGTAGTTGAAGCCGTGAGAGTGTATGAGTTGGCCAAGGGAGGAGGTGTAGATGAAGAAGAGAAGGGGCCCAAGGACAGAGCCTTGAGGGACCCCGACAGAGAGGGGGAGTGAGGGGGAGGTGGTAGCATTATATGTAACGCTGAAAGAGCGTTGTGCCAGGTAGGATGAGAGCCAGGAGAGAGCAGAATCTCTGAGGCCGAGGGAGTGTAGTTTTTTGAGGAGGAGGGGGTGGTCGACTGTGTCGAAGGCTGCAGAGAGGTCAAGGAGTAGGAGTACTGAATAGTGGCCATTAGCTTTGGCGGTTAGAAGGTCGTTGGAGAGTTTGAGTAAGGCGGTTTCGGTGGAGTGTAGGGTATGAAAGCCAGACTGTAGGGGATCGAGGAGGTGGTTGTCATTGAGGTGAGAGCATAGGCGGGTGTAGATGAGGCGCTCGAGGAGTTTAGATGTAAAGGGGAGCAGGGAGATGGGTCTGAGGTTGTTCGGGTCATTGGGGTCCAGGGAGGGCTTTTTAAGTATGGGGGTGATGTGTGCATGTTTCAGAGGGGAGGGGAAAGTGCCTGAGGAGAGGGAGAGATTGAAGATGTGGGTGAGGGAGCGTAGGATGGAGGGGGAGGGAGGTCGTAGGAGTTGTGAGGGGATAGGGTCGAGGGGGCAGGTGGTGAGGTGGGCATCAGAGAGGATCTTGGAGACTTCCTCGATGGTGGTAAGGTCAAAGGTGTGGAGTGTTGGGGGAACTTCAGTATGAGGAATGTAGGGTGGGGTGGAAGTGGAGGTCAGAGAAGTGGTGGGACCATGGGAGAGGGGTGATGAGGGGGTAGCTGAGGGAGGGGGAACGGGGTTGGAGGGAGTTTGAGCAGCGACGAAGTCCCTGCGGGTTATGTCGAGGGGGAGGAGGGATGAGGGGGTAGCTGTGTGAGAGGGGACGGGTTGAGAGAGGCCACGTCATTCATTCATGGACTTCCATGAATTAATGAACTGCAAGTCCCGACAGGCTTAGTGGCTGTGGGCTTGTCGTTTTCTATTAACTACCACGGAGGGAGCACGTAACTCAAAAGCCATGCTTCTGTGCTACAAGTGAGAGTAACTAGCGGTGCAGAATATGTTCCAGCTGAAAAAAAATCCTGCCTTGGAGTGTTTGCTTTCCAGGACCTCCAAAAATGTGATATGTAGTTAGGAAATTAGATGAATAATTTAGGCACAATTTATGCTTCTTGGATGCTCCTTGTATTTTGGGCCCCTCTATGCATTTAGGCTGTGAAAATGTCTCACACATGTGGTATCTCCATAATTGGGAGGCATAGCAGAATGTGTTTTGGGGTGTAATTATAAGCATGTTTATGCTGTGTGTGAGACATAACTTGTTATATTGTGTGTGACACATAAGTTGTTAAAATGACAACTTTGTGGAAAAAAAAGATGTAATTTTTTCATTTTCCAAAAAAACTGAGACACAAAATTACACTTTACACTCACCATTCCTCTTTTGACACTCCTCAGGCTATCTACTTTCCAAATAGGGGTTATTTGGGGGGTATTTTAATGTCCTCGAATATAAAATATATAGCAAAAAATAAAAAATCTCTGTCTCAAAAAATTATAAAAAAATGTCATTTAATTACATTGTTGCATGACTGAGCAATTGTCACTGAAAGCTGGAAATTGGCCTGGACAGGAAGTGGGTGAACATGTCCGGTACTGATGTGGTTAAAGGTCATCCCTTTAATCAATAAATATGATGCAATAATAATGTTGTTACATTTCTTTCCTTAATTACACTTGCAGACACTATATGCAAGTGTAATTTAAACAGGTGTGGCTGTTTCTGTGATACATATCAAGTCCCATCAGGCAAAATGACAGTCGGGAATTGCAAATAATAGCAACCAGTGAGTGGCAGAGCAGACTTAGAAGCCTATTATCTTTACATAGTTACATAGTTAGTCTGGCTGAAAAAAGACAAAAGTCCATCCAGTTCAACGATTAACCACTTCCAGACCGGACACTTTTACCCCTTCCTGACCAGGGCAATTTTCAGCTTTCAGCGCTATCATGCTTTGAATGACAATTGCGCGGTCATGCAACACTGTACCCAAATGAATTTTTTACCATTTTTTTGAGACAGATAAAGCTTTATTTTGGTGGTATTTATTCACCGCTGGGATTTTAATTTTTTTTGCTATGTAAATGAAAAATTCCAAAAATTTTGAAAAAAGTGTTTTTTTAATAAAATTTTGCAAATAAATAATATTTCATCATGAATCTTTGCCAAAATGTATTCTGTTATCTTTTTAGTAAAAAAAAAAAATTAAATTAGTTTATAACCAAAAATTATAATTTTTAAACATTTTTTTTTTACATTTTTATTTTATTTTTTCATATTATTTATTTTTTATTTATTTATTTTTTTACATACTGTCACCCTAGCAGTACAGTGTCACTGTACTACTTGTGGGGGGTGATGAAGATTTTTTTTTTTTTTTTTTTACACATTGCTTTTACACCCATATAGGATGTAAAAGCAATCATTTCTCTTTCTCTCTGTGTGCATTCTTGCACTCATTGAGAAGTACTGAGTAAGCTGTGATTGGTCACAGCTTGTCACATGGTACAAGCCTGTTGTGAATAGGCTTGTACCATGTGACCTCTGTGATCATTCACAGATTTCACACGTAGTAAGCAAGTGACATCTTGCTTACTACTTTGCATGTGATCACTGATTGGCCAATCAGTGATCACATGATCGGGACCTCGTATAGAGGTCCCGTCCGATGATCGGTGTTTTCACTGTGTCCGGAGGACACCGCGGGCACCGGATCGCGGTGCTGCGCGCTCCCAGGGAGCGCGCACAAGCAGGGTGCGGGGAGGCCGTTTATAAACGGCCACCCAACCCTGCACTGCCACCGTCCGGCCGTTTATATGCAACGGCCGGTCGGGAAGTAGTTAACAAAAAAAAATTATAATCCTATACACACAGTTGATCCAGAGGTAGGCAAAAAAACCAGCAAAGCATGATCCAATTTGCTCCTGCTGGGAAAAAAATTCCTTCCTGATCCCCCGAGAGGCAATCGGATATTCCCTGGTTCCCTGGATCAACTTTACCTATAAATGTTAGTATCCAGTTATATTCTGTGTATCTAAGAAATAATCCAGGCCTTTTTTGAAGCAATCCACTGAGCTGGCCAGAACCAACTCTTGAGGGAGTCTATTCCATATTTTCACAGCTCTCACTATGAAGAAACCTTTCCATCTTTGGAGATTAAATTTCATTTCCTCCAGACATAAAGAGACGTAAAGAGTAACCCCTTGTGCTTTTACACAAAAATGTAATTGAGTTTTCAAAGTAGAATAACATTGAAAAGCTACAATCATGCTATAATACAATGATAATGGTTTAGCAGGTATAAAATAGGTGGAACATAGTCGGAATGATAGTGAACCAGCCTATGGCAGAATATAGTTCTAGCAACAGGCTCTTGAAGCCTTGTGGCAAGTTTTTATTAATCCAAGGTTGCCAAACCTGTATATATTTAGAATTTTTATCTGCTATTGTTTCCATGTTTCTTTTTTAGGATTCATGGCTTATGTGATCATGTTTTTAGCTTCAGCTAAACATAGATACATCTTTCCCTGGTCCTGGCTGCTGTGAGTAATCGAGGTAGAAATTTCAATTGTGCATTAGCAATGTTTGATGTCTGTTTGCTTAACCACTTGCCTACCAGGCACTTATACCCCCTTCCTTACCAGGCCAATTTTCAGCTTTCAGCACTGCCGCACTTTGATTGACAATTGCGCTGTCATGCAACATTGTACCCATATGAAATTTTGATCATTTTTCTCACAAATAGAGCTTTCTTTTGGTGGTATTTAATCGCCACTGGGCGCTTTACTTTTTGCGCTATAAATACAAAAAGTGCAAAAAATTTGAAAAAAAAAAAAAAAAGTTTCTTTGTTTCTATTATAAAATTTTTCAAACAGGTAATTTTTCTCCTTCACTGATGTGCGTTGATGAGGCAGCACTGATGGGCACTGATAGGCGGCACTGATAGGCAGCACTAAAGGGCACTGATAGGCAGTACTAATGAGGTGGCACGGATAGGCGGCACTGATAGACAGCACTAATGAGATGTCACGGATAGGCGGCACTAATATGCAGCACTGATAGGCGGCACTGATAGGTGACACTGATGATGGGTACTGATAGACGGCACTGATTGGCATCACTGCTGGGCACTGACTGGCTGCACTGACTGGCACAATCCCTGGGCACTGACTGGTGGCACTGACTGGCAGCACTGGTGGGTGGCACTGGTGGGTGGCACTGGTGGGTGAGCACAGGTGGGTGGGCACAGGTGGGCACAGGTGGGTGGGCACAGGTGGGTGGCACTGCTGGGCACAGGTGGGTGGCACTTCTGGGCACAGGTGTGTGACACTGCAGAGTGGCACAGGTGGGTGCACTGCTGGGCACAGGTGGGTGATCTGCTGGGCACAGGTGGGCGGAGCTAGTGGGCGCACTGCTGGGCACAGGTGGGCGGAGCTTGCGGGTGGCACTGCTGGGCACCGATCATCAGGGCACTGATCATCAGTGCCCTGATGATCGGTGCCGATCCCCGCTCTGACAACTGCCGGTTCTCGGCAGTACTTTCCTCACGATCTGACAGCGTGAGGAAAGTGCAGCCGAGAACCGGCACTTGCATTTTCCTCTGATCAGCGTGTCATTGGACACCGCTGATCACGTGGTAAAAGGCCGCTGTGATTGGCCTTTTACCACATCACGTGATCAACTGTGTCCGTAGGACACAGCGATCACGGAGATCGCGTTCGGGTGCGCGCCCCCTGGGGCGCGCAGGAGAGAGGACGTCATTCAGCTATCTGCGGTCGGCAGGTAGTTAAGAGAGCCAAAGTGGTATTAGTCAGGTTGGGGCGACTTAACACACTGGATAGGATATCTAATACTTTCACCCAAAAGGCCTGAAATATAGGACAGGACCACCAATTATGTACATGGCAGCCTATTTCTGCACAACCTTAGAAATAGAAGGATGGATAATCGGGCACAGACTTGCATATTCAGGTTTTGACTAAATATCACCAGGAAAACACTTTCTGATTAGCTTCCAATGTGTCTACCTTTATTGAAGAGAATGTTTGGATTTCCCCAATTTGATTCCAGTCATTATCCCCAAGGGTAATTTTGAGGTCAGCTGTGCAGAAACAATTCAGCAATAATGACTGAGCAAGGATATTAAACCTCATAAGTGTGGACTCCCACTTCTGCTAAAAATATAGATAGGAAAGTAGGGCTATTTTTATGGGGTCTGGAAGAATTTGTATTTGACTAGCATTCTCTAATGTGGGTATCTTGGTAATTCTAATTTGTTCCCCAACTACAAGAGCAAGAGATGCATGATCTAGATAAAGCAAAGGATTACGTAGGAAGGAAATCAAGTTCCCAAACTGCAAATGAATAACACATGGTCAGAATAGAACAATGGATTACATAGTAAGGAGAGCAGTGAAGTGTGAGGGAGACTTGTTTACAAATTTGCTTCACAGATTCCCAGGGTCCAACTAAGTGAGTAGGCCATGACCTGGTTGAAAATATGTCTGCAATGAGCCAGCTGAGTCACAGAATATTTCTTATAGAAATGAAGGTCACAATCCATTACCTTAGAGAACTATTTTTATACACTTTTAAACTCCACTGACTATGAAGTGTGCATTACTTTCAAAATCCTTGGAAAATGCCACTGATAAGGTTATTGCCTAAGCATGCTCAGCCCAGAACCATGTGCCTCACTAGGAATGATGAATGGCCTCAAAACCATCAAATGATTCAGGTTGGAAACATGGCTTAAAATGTTACTAAAGTCAAAGTTTTTAAATAAAAAAAAACAAACATGTTATACTCACCTGCTGTATGCAGTGGTATAGCACAGAGCGGCCCGGATCCTTCTTTTCTCGGGTACCCCAGTGGTGATTCTGGCTCCTCCTCTTCATCGTGTGTCCCCATAGCAAGCCACTTGCTGTGGAGGCATTCAGTGTTTGTGTGCTCTCAAGCTGCACTCCATAGATACACATAGCAGGACTTAGCCCCACCCCCACTTCCTCCTTACTGCATTTGATTTACAATGCTTGTGTAATGTGTGAAAAGGAAGAGAGGTGTGCGATGGACCGCCTGGCGCCCCACCTGGGTGCTTCCATTAGAGAATTCCTTCCTCAATGCTGGGGCACAGGGCCAAGGTATTAAAATCGGGCATTGCACCCAAGGACTAGACGACACTAGCTTAGGTGCAACTGGAACTGTTTACTGAACAGAAACACAGGTTTTTATACACTTCAGAAATATGGGGCAGTGCCCACATGAACAATAACCACAAACATTACACATCAGGATAAACATCCCACACTGATTAGGTAACGAGGTAAAGTTGACACCAGACTAATCCCACCAGATAGGAACCTCCAGGAGGACTACCCAACAGACAGAAACAAAACGTGACTCAATTAACTCAATTAACAATGGGACAAACACACAATAGTAAACACATCACACCTTAATAAACAGATTACAGCAAGAGACTTCAGCATCAGGTTGTTTGGAGCAAAATATATTAACATCTGCTTAGAGTCTCTGGGTTTTTTTTTTACTAAAGCTGGAGAGTCCAAAATCAGACTCCCTTCTGCATAGAAACCAATCAGCTTCTAACCTCAGCTTGTTCAATGAAGCTTTGGCAATGAAACCTGTAAGCTGATTGGTTTCTATGCAGAAGGAAGTCTGATTTTGCACTCTCCAGCTTTAGTAAATAAACCCCTCTGAGTCTAGGAGGGGGGTTGAAGCAGTCAATGCTGGTTTGGGCACAGAGACCCACAATTTGTATTTTGGTCCTCCAGTTCTCAGAGTCTGTGTATCTTGGGGATACATGGACTTGAATATGAAGTAAAACGTCCCCCCAAGCACACACCTCTTAAAGAATAAAGCCCCTTCAGGTGCCTGGGCCCATGGTCAGTAGGCAAGAGGCTATTCTGCAGTCCCCTCCAAAAGGCCCTGTCTTGGTTGGGTCTGTCACGAGGAGAGAATAGATGCAGTAGTGCACAGTGCTGGATCTATTCTCTCCCTCTCTTCCCCTTCACACAGGGAAGGGGGGTGCAGTAGAGAAACAGAAAACATATTTAACCTTAATGCAAGGAATGCTTTAAAGTAAAAAATGGCTTTAGCTTCAGCATAACTTTAACATTGGTAGTCTGGACTATGACTTTGAATATTCCTTTACCCACTAGAAAACATGAAAGGAAAGGAAGCAGAGGTGCCAGGGTACCCTTTGGAAGAATTTGAGAGGTTCAAAAATACTGAAAAATGTCTGAATAATTGTTTTGTTGCCCCTATTTATCAAAGCCCAAAGTGTATGTAAACTATGACCACATATTAACACTGGAAATTGTGGATGAACCCTTGGCGCACAGATATATACCCTTTCTAGCCAACTTTGCAATAAAGAATAGGGATTTTTATTTCACATATGTTGCAGTACATAAGCAGTGTGCAGGGAGTTCATCCAGAATTTCTAGTGTTAACATGCGGTCACATCGCTTTAGCACTTCATAGATTATAGACGTACTAGCTGTTGCGATTCAAGCACAGGTGTAGCTTATTTCTGTTGCATTGCAGGTCAGTGGCCAGACCTGACATAGTAGCTCTCCCCCACTTTGTGTCTGTTTGCCCCATGTTGCCACTGTGTCCACAGTAATATTTAATTTGCAAAGCAGGTTAGGGACTGGCCATAGAGGGATTACTTTGATGCAGATGAGCAGTTTAAACATGTATTGCAATTAGAGATGAGCGAATCGAACATGGCAAAGTGGAATTCGTTTCGAAGATCAGGAAAAATTTGATTCGTGCCAAATCCGAAAATTAGAAAACTTCGGATGCACGAATCGAATTTTCCCAAAAATGGCGGCGACATGTGTGGCGACGGAGCGGGGATCTCTGGGAAGGCGCGCAGACAAGGCGCGCTGACCCATAATGCATTCATTCATGACATGTGATCGCATTAGCCAATCAGCAGCCAGCCAGCCAGCACTGTGTAATGGTTGAGCTATAAATTGCGGCCATCTTACAATTCTCCATTAGCCTCCGGTCATTCAAGAGAGACAGACCTGTCTGTATTAGGGACAGAGTTAGGGCCAGAGAGACTTTAGGGCCACAGAATCGTTACTTAGGGACACAGAATCATTACTTAGGGACACAGAATCGTTACTCAGGGACACAGAATTGTTACTCAGGGACACAGAATTGTTACTCAGGGACACAGATTCGTTACTCAGGGACAGACACAGAATTGTTACTCAGGGACACAGAATTGTTACTGAGGGACACAGAATTGTTACTCAGGGACACAGAATCGTTACTCAGGGACACAGAATTGTTACTCAGGGACACAGAATTGTTACTGAGGGACACAGAATTGTTACTCAGGGACAGACACAGAATTGTTACTCAGGGACACAGAATTGTTACTCAGGGACACAGAATTGTTACTGAGGGACACAGAATCGTTACTCAGGGACACAGAATCGTTACTCAGGGACACAGAATTGTTACTCAGGGACACAGAATCGTTACTGAGGGACACAGAATCGTTACTGAGGGACAGACACAGAATTGTTACTCAGGGACACAGAATTGTTACTCATGGACACAGAATTGTTACTCAGGGACACAGAATCGTTACTGAGGGACACAGAATCGTTACTCAGGGACACAGAATCGTTACTCAGGGACACAGAATTGTTACTCAGGGACACAGAATTGTTACTGAGGGACACAGAATCGTTACTGAGGGACACAGAATTGTTACTCAGGGACACAGAATTGTTACTCAGGGACACAGAATCGTTACTCAGGGACACAGAATTGTTACTCAGGGACACAGAATCGTTACTGAGGGACACAGAATCGTTACTGAGGGACACAGAATCGTTACTAAGGGACACAGAATTGTTACTCAGGGACACAGAATTGTTACTCAGGGACACAGAATCGTTACTCAGGGACACAGAATCATTGAATTAAGGAGTATGTCAGACAACACGCAGAGGAGTGGCAGAGGAGGCAATGTTTCAGGAGCGAGCAGACGTGGCAGCAGAGGAAGGGGTCGAGGCAGCACTATTCGCAGCCAGAGGCCAGTGCTCCCGGTGTCATCCAGCGGTCGTGTCTCCACCGACAACCCTGCCGTCATCGATTGGTTGGCTCGGTCGTCTTCCTCTTCCAAGGTCACCTCTGACACCTACAGGCAACGGTCGGTGGGTACGTCAGACACAACCGTTAGTTGGCATGGCCCGGGAGCAAGCCCACTGAAATCACGTGTCCTCTACCTGCCCCTGTCCTTTGGTGTTCCCTCACCAAGCGAAGTATCGCATGCTGTGGGCTCAGCCCCACTGTACAGTGAGGAAGAGCTAACAGAGGGCGGTCATTAACGGGGGGAGACATCCGCCTCTTCAGCAGCCAGGCGAAGAAGTACTGGCGAGGAGAGTGGCTCGGTAGCCGGTCTAGAGACAGGTCTGTCTCCTGACCCACACGCAGCCGAGGGGGCTAGTAGTGAGGCGGAGACCCTAATTGATGATGATGAGGCTGATCGCACTTGGCAGCCTCGTCGTCATCTGCCAGGCCCGTAATCTACCATGGGCCCCCGTACCGACTCCTCATGCTGCTGCCAGGCCCGTAATCTGCCATGGGCCCCCGTACCGACTCCTCATGCTGCTGCCAGGCCCGTAATCTGTCATGGGCCCCTGTACCGCCTCCTCATGCTGCTGCCAGGTCCAGAGTGTGTCATGGGTCCCTGTACGGCCTCCCATTGCTGCTGTCTCCATCGCCACACTCTGCCATGTGCCACTTTCAGGTCTCCTCACACTGCTGGTGGGTTCCATTTTTTCATAGGGTGCTGTATGGCCTCCCATTGCTGCTGCCTCCACCGCCACACTGTGGCTCCACACTCTGGTTTTGGCCCCGTGACTGCCCAAATGAGTGAAGTGTGCGGTGATTCTAAGATCGACGGCACTCATCTGCATGTCATACTGACTGACAGTATTATTTCTCTTCCCCAGCAGACTCCAAGGGCATTTAAATTAAAGGTACAGTGTTCTGCACTAATATAAAGGCTCTCTGAAGCCTAGAAACACCCTTTTTATAAGTTAAATTCGCAGCGAATATATTCGACTCGAATCGAATTTATTCCACGAATTCGCGAATCAGCCGAATCGAATTTTTGAATAATTCGCTCATCTCTAATTGCAATATGTGTGAGCTAAAAATCCCTGTTTTTTTATTGCAAAGTTTGCTAGAAAGGGTATATATCAGTGTGCAGAGGCTTCATCTAAAATTTCTACTGCCAGCTGCCATGACAAAACTGCACAAATCCCATACCACTCCCCAAATACCAAACAACCACCAATAAGGGAAGACAGGTGGTAAGTTGTCCTGACACAAGCTATCCTCCAATTAAAGACTCCCCACGGCACTCCTACATACCCAACCTCTGAAGCCCCACCTGATTCTGCCCTATCCACCAATCCAGTAAGTACTTCTTTACCACTTTAACTCACCAAAAGTCCCCTCCTATGCCAAACCCCTTTTAACCCAGTCATGTAAGCCCTACGTCCAGGCTTTCCCTTGTCTTACTCTAGGCCTAACTGTCTATTTACCTTTAGCCAATAAATCCCACTGTGTTGTCATATGAGAAAGATGGTGCACACTATATTACTGGCACATAAGCCATTATTTTTCTGTACTTGTAGTGAGTTTAAAAGTACATATATAAAACATGAGTAAATGTGCATGTATTGCAGAGGTGTGCTAAATATATGTTTTTGTCTTAACATATGCTTTAGGGCTTATATACACTCAGGGTGGAGTGTGGTGCCCTCTGAAGTGCAATCCCCATTTGGGTTGCATTTCAGAGGGCATTTGAAGTATTATATTGCCTTCTCACCACCTGAATTCACCCTATAATGCCACACTACTGTGTCACAATCACGTGCATTGTACACAGTTGTGCTGTGGTCCCCTTGAACTTAATGGATGGGCTTGACAAGCAGTGCCACTTGTCAAAGTGTGCATCTGAGTAAAAATACTGTGGCCAAGAAGCGCATCATGGCCTCAGCATGTGAACAGCTCCTTCTGCATGTTGTTATACAGTTTAAGTGGGCGGCTGGGGGGTAGTAAAACTGTGTCCAGCTGTCCATTTTTACCACTGTTTTCCCCTCCAAGACCACCTATCTAGAAGAGACCTTAGGATACTGTAAAAAAAATGCCAATAAATACACAAGACAAAGACAGTTATTATCTGCTTCCCAACCGCCCTATAGCACAACTACTGCAGCAGTGCTGGGCAAAATCACGTATATATACATGATTTTGTGTTTTTGGGTAGGAGGCACATACATACCCTGCCCACACGGATACAGCTGTCGATCACTGGATCCCGGCCAGAGATTCCCCGCTGGCACCTGGCAATCACCGAGTATCACTGACAGGGGAGAGGTCTGTATGTAAACAATACAGATCTCTCCCCTGTCAGCTCCAGCATGCTGCATAGCAAAGCAATACAAAGCAGCATGCTTACACAGTAAGGAAACACAGCACACAGTGAACTCTTTGACCTACCCAGATGTAAATTGTTCATTTCATCCCCATTAAGTTCATGCAGTGCATTTGCTTGGAAACGCTATGGCAGGAGACCCAGAGAGACCCCACTAGCTGACACAGAGACCTATAAAAAGTAACAAGGCAGTTTGCCAAAATGTACTTGAGTAAGCCAAAAGCCTTCTGGGAAAAGATTGTGGACAGTTAAAAAGGTCATGATTGCTACAGATCTCAGCCGACTGTGTGCAAAACACACTTGTCTATTGTACAGACTGGGGCTTATATGCTTGAAAAAAAGGCCATGGATGTTATGTTTATTGTTGATGGGATAGACAGAGATGAAAAAATACAATATAGGTTTATGTGTTAACCACATACCGCCCAGCCATTGTAGAAATACGGCGGCAGGGCAGCACGGCTGGGCAAAAGCACGTTTTAAAAACCTGTGTTTTGAAAACAAGTAGGGGGCGCACGTGAGGCGCGCCGCCGCCCTATGTGTCCTGCCGATCACAGCCGCGGATGTCAGTCGCCGGGTCACAGCCGGTCGTTACCGGCTATGTCCCTGGCGATCGGCGGCAATCGCTGACAGAGAGCACAGCTGCAGTAGCTGTGCTTTCTGTCAGTTCCCTGACAGCTCCAGGACACTCTGATCGGGACAGAAGAGTTTCTCTCTCTCCCGATCAGCAGTGTTCCCTGCAGTACACACCCCAAAAAGTCCAAAATATTGTTTTTTTTTTTCCTCAAAATTGTCAGCCTTTTTTTTATAACGCAAAAAATAAAAATCGCACAGGCGATCAAATACCACCGAAAGAAAGCTCAATTTGTGGGAAAAAAAGGATGTAAATTTCATTTATGTACCAATTTACATGACTGCGCAATTGTCGGTTAAACTAGCGCAGCGCTGTATAGCAGAAAAATGGCGTAAATTGCAGTATCTATACCATAGTTTGTAGACGCTATAACTTTCACACAAAGCAATCAATATACACTTATTGGGATTTTTTTTTACCAAAAACATGTAGCAGAATACATTTTGGCCTAAATATATAACCAACTTTGAGTTTACTATATATTTTTTATAGCTGAAAGCAAAAAAATATTGTTTTTCTTCAAAATTTTTGGCCTTTTTTTTTTTATAGCGTGAAAAATAAAAAGGTGATCAAATACCACCGAAAGAAAGCTCTATTTGTGTGAAAAAAAGGACGTAAATTTTGTTTGGGTGCAGCATTGCATGACCGCGCAATTATCAGTTGAATTAGTGCAGCGCCGAGTAGCAAAAAGAGGCCTGGTCATTAAGGGGGTTAACCTCTGGAGGTCAAGTGGTTAAGTAATGTACAATAATTTAGTTAGATTGGTTCTCAACTTTGGTATGTAATGTGTTATGTGTTCTGTTTACACTTTATTACATCCTTGTTATCTGCTGAACCTTAATGTTCATACAGGGACATAATATTTTTTGTAGCCCCAGATCTAAGGGGGCCATGCACCTTTTTATATCAGGTTTCTAAAACTCCCAATTTTCTAAGTAGAGTATTCCTCCAAGATATGATTGAGAGATGGATATTAGTTGGAGAACAGAGGAAGAAAAAAGGAAGTGAGGAAGGGCAGTTGTAAAGTTTAGGGGAGAGAACAATGGCGCAAAGACTTTGCTGTGTAGCCTCATGCTTGGCACCCCTAAATGGAGCTAAGGGGGTGCTAAAGATAATACCTTTTGTGTACAGTGTTGAATTTAAAGATTAAGCTAAGTTAAAGTCTGCACAATATCACCTACCTTACAGCCTGCTGCCCATTGTTGTTAATTTCCTAATCTGTGGAGTATTATGGAAGCTGTACACCTGCATGCATACAGAAATATATATATATATATATATATATATATATATATATATATATATATACACAGATGCCAGCTTGTAACTGTGAAATTATATTCTGTTAGCAGTGAACTGAAACACTAGTCATTTCCTGTGCATTTGCATTCCCCATTACTCTTGTACACTTTTCTGGTAATTTATTTCGGTTCATGTGCTTTTAAAATGAGTCACTGTCAGTTCCTCTGCTGCATTGAAACAGCAGACTTTGTATTATATCAGGCATGAAAAATTTTCTATTAGACACAGTTTCCTGTGGATATAGTGATTTCTTCACGGCACATTAGGCAAATAAAAAAGGGGGTATCTCAAGTTCTCGCAAACACACAGTACTGACTTTTATAGCTTTTAATATCCCAACAGAACTGTGTTTCATCAATGCTGAAAATTGGTACTTCCAAACTAACAATCTGGTAGTTATATCCACAGTCTCAGTTACTGAAACCTGCCTATTTCAGCTTCTTCCTTCGATATGTGCTAATTAGTTCTATAATGACTAGCTGTAAAAATAAGTATTTTTACAGTTTTTGATCTGGATGAATAGAAATTCGCTGAAATATCACTCCTTTACTACAGGAACATACAAATGTGAAAAGAATTGCAGCCATTCTTCAATAATTTCTACGAAAATAGTCTCTGTTCAGTATTTATGATACATGGCAGCATGTTTTTTTTTTCTATAGAAAACTTTCTTTCAAACTAATTTAATGATAGCTTCTTAATAATTTTTTTAGCTCTATTATCATTGAAAGTAAATCATCTTTTTCCTTTCTTAACACTGAACACCAAAGTTCCCTAATTAAATTATTATTTTTGGAGTATAGAGGGATTAGAAAACCTGCCAGGTTTTTATCACTGTCCATGCCAACCATTATTTGTTATGTTTACCATTACCTCTAAATGGTAAACCATCTGCAATGTCATGGCTGTATTGAGTGTACTGCACTCTATGGGAGAAATGTAACACATTTACCAAAACTGGTGCACTCGGAATCTGGTGCAGCTGTGCATGGTAGCTAATTAGCTTCTAACTTCAGCTTGTTAAGCTTTGACAGTAAACCTGGAAACTGATTGGTTTCTATGCAGAGCATCACCAGATTGTGCACCACACAATTTTAGTAAATGTCCCCCTTTGTATTTATGGACTTAATTGCACAGGTATGCTGCAGCATACCGCTGGTGCAGTCTTCGTATTCTGTCTATGGCCTTCTGGAATGTAGAGGGGGAAGATAATTATGTAACCCAGAGAACATGTTTTTAAAAATGTTTGAAACAAACCCTAACGGGTCACAAAGGCAGTCTTTTCCTTGACACTTTCAGCTAGGGGAATCTGCCAGTTTTGTCAATTCCTAGGATAATGGGCTGTCCCCATTCAGTCAATGATTTTGTCTACCTAATACATGGAATAAGTATCAAAAACCTGGGGGCTCCTCAAAGGAATCCTCTGAATACAAATTTTCTGTGAATGTCAGGGATTCCGCTTCAGATAATGTTTGTAAATCTGGACAATCCCAAAATGATCACAACATGCAACAAGTAGGGTACAATTCCAAGTCAGGAGCCTTTTACATGAACATTCTGATCGGGTCCGCCTGTCTGTTTTTTCAGGTGGACCTGATCAGAACCTCCAATCTCTATGGGGCAGTTGGTGTAAACGGACATGTGTCTGTTTACACCCACCTACCTCCAATCCAGATCAGATTGGATGGCAGTCAGGTTTAAAAGGACAGGCTGTCTGTTTACATTTGACTGCCCATAAAGGAGAATGGGCTGTGTCCATGTCCGCTACGCTTATGCACCTGCTCAGTGGGGATCAGTAGACAAATCCTCTGCTGAGCAATCAGATTACAAGCATATTCCTCCCATGTCAAAGGGTATCCAGTGCCATTTGAAACTTCACTGTTGCTATAAGGGTACTCTTGAGTATGACAATGTACATGAACTGCAGCAACCCTTCTGGGCTGGAAGTCCACAGGGGCAATCACCTCACCTTTATGAAAGTAACCAAGCTCCCTGAGGGGATAGGCAGGGTGCAATGCTCCCTGAAATATCTTTTCAGGCACAGATACAAGTCTAGTGGCTTCTTTCAAACATTCAAAAAATTGTTTCTTTTTAAGGCATTATAAACCTTCCTTCCTGCACCTTGTGTTTTTCAACTGCATAAGATGTGCGCTGATCATGTAGTTTCAAGGTACCATTTATTGCCCACAGTCTATAGTAGCATATATCTTCACATTTCAATACAATAAATCTTTGCTTGAAACATGAGGCATGGGGCATGGCACTGCACAGGTTAATGCATGACCTCTGTCTGTAGTCTGAGAACTGACATATCCTGGGAAGAAACAACACTGCTCAAAAAAAGTCATTATAAACCTTCCTTCCTGCACCTTGTGTTTTTCAACTGCATAAGATGTGCGCTGACATTGTAGTTTCATGGTACCATTTGTTGCCCACAGTCTATAGTAGCATACATCTTCACATTTCAATACAAGAAATATTTGCTTGTAACATGGGACATGGCACTGCACAGGTTAATGCATGGCCTCTGTCTGTAGTCTGAGAACTGACATATCCTGGGAAGAAACAACACTGCTCAAAAAAATTAAAGGAACACTGTAATCAGAGTATAGCATCATGTCAATTAAACTCCTGGGAAATTGAGTTAAGTAGCAGAGGGGGTTGTTATTCAGTTTCAGCTGCTTTAGTGTTAATGAAATTAACAACAGGTGCACTAGATGGGCACCAATGAGATGACCCCCAAAGCAGGAATGGGTTTGCAAGTGGCAGTCACTGACATTTTATTTTCCCTACTCATCTTTTCTGACTGTTTTTCACTAGTTTTGCATTTGGCTAGGGTCAGTGTCACTACTGGTAGCATGAGGTGATACCTGGACCCTACAGAGGTTGCACAGGCAGTCCAGCTCCTCCAGGATGGCACATCAATATGTGCCATTGCCAAAAGGTTTGCTGTGTCTCCCAGCACAGTCTCAAGAGCACAGAGGAGATTCCAGGAGACAGGCAGTTACTCTAGGAGAGCTTGACAGGGCTGTAGAAGGTCCTTAACCCATCAGCAGGACCAGTA